TACTGATCCCACACTTTACCCTACTCGTCTCGGCCTCCTAAAGTAGAGGTCTAAGAGAAGCATTGAGGGCTCCCAGTGTAGGACTATGGAGAAATAGTGTTAGGAATATCATAGACATCCAAATAATGGAGCTAGGAGTGACTAAAATTGATGAGAATAAAGTAGGTTAATAGGCCACCATAAAATAGAGTGGCTTGTCTTCCTCCTACTCACCCCCATTCCTACTTGTATGCATCACTGGATATCAGGCTGAGAGCTTCAATGGGAGGACTGGGAACGTTTAAAAAGTAGAAAATATGAATGGAGTTGGGGAAATTTTAGGCTACTGAGCTGCTGAGGGCTGGGATGTTGTCTGCCTGGGAGGCATTTTTAATTCTGAGGAAGATGAGAGTATTAAAACGAACCCAGACAGGAGAAACTAGAAAGTAGCTGTTTAGGTCTTACTCTGGAATTAAGGATATGGGGAAACCTTTCAGGTTTCTTTCCATGTGACCTGGTCTTGTTTAGCAGCATATAAGAGGTAGGGATTCTGTCAGATGAAATACAGAAGAATAGAGAAATGCAAAAGAGAAGCACAAACCCAGGTAGTTAAAAAAGAAGCAAATAATTTTCACATTCTCTTGTTATTACTAAATAACTAACAAAATGCTTCCAGAAATAATAATGCACAGTATAGTCTTTAAAATGACTAATTTTGATTTTACATAGTTTTCTTTGGCTATATAATATATTAATGTGTGTGTGTATCCACTGGCAGATTTGTGGTTGTGCCATGACAAATCCAAAGTTGACAGCATATTTGAAGATTTGTTTTGGTTATTTCCTCTAGAACTTTAGGCCATCATGTGGAAACTCTAAAGAAAATTTTCATATATAAGTCCAAAAAATTGAAGCATTATGTGAGAAGTAAGTGTAATCTATGGAATAGGTATCCTCTATGAATAAGCATGGTTAAAGTTATAGAAACCATGCATCCAATATTCTGTCTCAAAAAGTTAATGCCAACCTTCACCCCACCCCCATAACTAAGCTCCCAGATTCAGACAAATATTATTGATGGTAGCACTTGTTTTTTTCTCTACGTCAAAAATAAAAAAGTAGTAATCTTGCACCAGTACCAGCAGAACTGATGTCCTGTGAGGTTCATACAGATTGTCTATAATTACAGAACAGAAAAGTAAAATAAGCTCTTAATGATACAATTATATCTGTCCAACTGAACATTAAGAGGAGAAAAATCATTCTACGTCACATTGTGAGCCCAAGAGAACTTGTATACCCTAATATCTTGTTAAACTAATAAGGTCCATTCAGCTTAAAATATATTTCAGTGCTGTGTGCAGTTTTTAGTTGCTGAACTCACTGAGTCTGTGGGTACAACATTCATGTATTCCTCTCTGGTAGGTTATTTACCCTCTTGTTACAAATTTTAATCTGTGTTAAAGTAAATGATTCGCTCTCACTGATTTCCGCTGTCAAACCTAAGAGACACCTAGCTCTGACTTGAGAATGGGACCAAGGATGTAAAAGTGAAAATGGTCCGAGAGAATGACAGCCTCTTAAAGGGCAGGTGAAGGTTCAGTGACCTCTGGGCACTCTTGTCCATTCTGGTGAATCACTGCTTTGGGGAAGCAAAGACCCTGTGGCTCATAAAAGTTGATAACATTAAGAAGGAGGGAAGGAATTCACACTTAGACTTCAAGGTGACTGTTAGAAATACAACTTTAAAAATTTAAGGGTAAGGAAAAATGTAATATTTAAAAATGAATTACTAATGTTTTTTTCTTTAAAAAGTATTGGGAAAACCCATATCATACAGATGTTCATTACTTATTCAATGTACACCATTGAGAGATAAATAGAACTGTTCAAATACAAAAATGCCAAGGGTAATTCAACAACTGCAGTGTAAGTGTGGCATAACTGATTCGTCATGACATACAATTTTCTAAAAGCTATTCTGTTAGAAGGCAATAAATGAGTGCATAAATGATTTACACTCTTCTGAACTATGGTTATTATTCAGTATTTTATTTTTAAAAATATATACACCCTATACTATTATGTTTATTCTCTAGAGTATAATAAAAACATAATTGAATTTGATGAAAAATAGACTTGATTCTAAATGTACCATACAGTACATACAGCTACTCCCTTATTTTATTCGTTGTAAAGATCAATGGTCACTTGAGGTGGTTCTGCTCAAGGTTTGTTTTAATATATGGACAATAAAATATTTTTAATTTAAAAATTATATCCTTATATTCCATGTTATATTTTCTTTTTAATACTAACATCTGAGTTTTGACCTACATAACAATTTATGGATGCAAAATACAGTATTTTAATCACTGCTTTACTTCTAAATATGATTTCTTATTGACTAGGAAGGGCAGGAAATGAACTACAGATGGTTTAGCAAATAAAAATGAAGCAGTCTTCAACAAAAGCATCAGAGTTTGGTGGCTGGTTTTGTTTTAATGGGACCTATATGCTATTATGAACGAAGAAGGTTATCTTTTAAAAAATATTAAAAATTTGTTTTAATATAACCATCTCTGGAATTTATATAAATGACTTGTTAATCTATTTTCATTTATAATTTCCTTTGAGTTAGAAACTCTGTCACATAATATATATATATATATATCTATAACCTAAGTATATATAATTACACTAAAGTTCAATATAGCTATTTTATATTGCTATATAATATAAATTATAACATATACTATAGTATGGTTAAGTCATATATATGCTATATTTAAAAATTATATTCATAAATATTACATAGAAGATAAGGATATAATTTTTAAATAAATAGAGAGTAAGGGCGAATACAAATGAAAAATAAGAGACAGTGCTCCCTGTTTTAAATAAGGGAAAACCTGAGAAAAGGATCGGATTGGATAAGGGACTTGAGACCCTGTAAGATCCAGAAAAGGGATTGGATAGGGGGAAGACCCAGCACAAGCCCACAAAGAGCGAGGAAAGACACTGTTTAGTTTGAAGAAAGCCTGCTCTCTCCCAAGCCTGAAATCATATAATCAAAGCTTAACAAAGGCCCCTCTAGGTAGCCCAAGTTCATCTGTCTGTTCAGGGTCCACCCATGGGCGCAGGTGCAGGGCCGGGTGCAGCAGTGCAGCACTGTGCAAGAGGCTATGCTAACGGGCTGTACCTACTAGGCAATATAAAGGGGTAAGATTCCTTTCTGTCTTTGCATTCTCTTAGCAAATTACCTGTATGAGCACTGCATTCTGGTTTACTGCTTATTGAATAATAAAAGTTTTTCTTTCTTGTCTACCTTTGTGTAGAGGAGTTCCAGGATGGAAAAACATTTCATTTTAATTATAATTCCCCTACAATATGCTATCTTTTGAATCTGTTATCTATGCCGATTATTATAATGGTAAAAAATTAACTATTTTCATATAAAACTTGAGGAAAAAATAATAGGAACAGTTCGCTTGCTTGGTTCAGTTCTTTGACAATTCAATATAGCTATTCCTTAAATTTTAAAAAAGGAAATGCTATGTTATCATTCTGCAATAGAAATTTTGACAGTGGCTTGCATATTTGTAGCCCACATTAGGTGACTTAGGACATTTGCCCAAAAAGATTCAAATAAGTGAACTGACTCAAGAGCCCAGAAATGCATATGAAGACAAAGTCTATTCTATCAAAGAACATGTATTAGTGGGAAACTACTTAGCTGTCCCAGCTTCCCTCAGCGTTTGGTAACACTTCTGGAGTAGGTAATGAAGACTAATATGACATAACAATTCTCTGTGGAGTCCCTAGCCTCCCAAGTAAATGAGAAAGAGACTTAAGATGACAAACATTATATACAAATAATTTATTTTCAGTGTTCTGTTTTTAGCACTTCAAACAATCTCTGGCTTTATACTAATATTTTATTTCAATACCTTAATTTAAAATTTAACATTTTTGTGCTAGGCCATCAAATGAGAATGCTTAACTCTAAACATATGCATGAAAATCCAGACCAACAATATTGGCAAAAATCTAAGAAATCATTAATAGCAATTCAATAAACTTTAATTTATCTATTTGAAGTTGTTATCATTGCAATTTGTTAGTTAATATTAATAGTAGGAAGAGAGCAAAGGGGAGGCCAGACATTATAAGCATGGTCATCTGGGCAGCTTCACCAGGAAGCTACAGCTTTTTGCTCCTCAGGGAACCACTAGTCCATTCCCTGAAAATCACTGGGGAAAGGGCTGGAACAGAGAGGGAGATAGACTCATGCACAGTAAAGTCAGGGTGATGTAAGGAAGGTGCTTGCCTGTCAGTCTAACCTATGAAAAAGATCATTGGCTAGGAGGGGGTAGCAGCTGCAAGCATGCAAAATCTTGGAAGGGTAAAATCCACAGACAAAGTATTCCCTTCTCTTCTTCTTGTGCTCCCTCTTGCTCTGTGACTTGCACTAGCCCGTGTTTCTGTGTGCTCACCTCCATAGCCATGTGGGCTTAAGCAACCACATGGCCTATGGCCATATGGACTCCACAGGCAAGGTGCTGGACTGGACTGGACTTTATTATGGAGCAGAAATTCTGGGCAGTGGCGTTAATTCTGGCCCTCTGAAGACAAAATTTGACTTCTTGCATGGCAAAATGGACAGAAATGGGACTTTGGAGAGGAACCCCCTTAATTTTACATCATCAATAACGTGTTCCATAAAACCCCATCTTCCCCTGGGGGCTTCAGGAAATTCTTTTCCTTGTGGCAACCCAAGAACTCTACTTCCACTGATAGCAACGGCAGTGCCTATATTTTTTTAGTTTTATTTAAAGTACTAATCAGATCAGGAAAATCACATTTAATTTGGGGGGGAAGGTCTCATCAATTTTTTTCAGTAAAGCTAATGACAATGAAAAGCTAAAATTATCTAACAGGAAACAATAAAACTAGACTAAGTAAAATTTGTGTAAATTAAAAATGAAACTAACTTGTTTTAAATAATTAGCAATATTTACCTTGCAGCATTTTGTTCTATCTTTTCCTCAATGTCACTGAAGATCTGCTTAAACTCCAAGTCTCCAGGAAATGAATTTAACAAACAATGTAGGTCGAAAGAATTATGGGAATATTCATCTTCCCAATCCATTCTGAGAAACAATAATAAAAAATATGTTAGTTACCCCCAAATAAAGGAAAAAAACCTACCTCAAGTTGTGATACTAAATCAAAATCAATAATTCCCATTTTTGGGCAAAATGAAATATAACAGTAGAAAAACTAGGGTATTATTAAACTAGGTAGAGTTTTGTTATTTAAATTCATGAGGTGTGACGTAATTTTCACACTTTTCTCTAGTTTGAAAGCTGAACAAAACAGCACCCCTCAGAGAGTACTTATAAACATCCTGCTGCTTCTCACTGCAACCACGCTCTGCAAAGGAAATCACAAAGCCTCACAGACCACTGTGAACAAAGGTGGTTGCAGAAAAAATTTAACACCTTTCCGCTCTTACCAACAAACTGACCTGGAAATGGTAACCTTAAAACTGTTAAAGCCTAATCCCCTGGCCCAATTTATATATATAAAAGGCAAGAAATTCTCCTCTCTGATAACTAAAACTTAAATGTGCTACCCCTTATAGATGTGCATTTTACCACTATCAAAGCATTATTCATCCATTCATTCCATATATATTTATTGAAAGTTTGATGAGTAAGAAGCATTGCTGTCAAAGCTGGGGATATAGCTGCAACAAGTCAAAGTCCCTACCTTTATGGAGTTTTTATTCTGGTGGTGAAGGTAGATTTTAAAAACACATAAACAGATATATTTCATAAAAGATCACATGGTGAGAAGTGCTATGTGAACATGTCTATCAGGGCAATGGGACAGACTAAGAATGATAGAGCTGGTACAGACTGTGAACTATTTTATTTAGGGATATGTTATTTTTGGATATAAAATAGTGCTTATAAAATATTTTGATGACTGATGGTGTTACTGGCGCGGTGACAAGACTTCGGTTCTTGTCTTCTTGAAGAAAAAATGTCAATCAAGAGACAAAGTGTGCCAAAGTAAGAATTTATTGGCCGCAGGAAAAATATATTTAGGACAGTGAACTAGAAGCAGCAACAGGAGAGACTAGGCTGGGCTGCTTTGCTCACTGAGAAGTCAGAGAAAAGGGGGTTAGCCTGGGATGAACTGCTGCTGCCCATTGCTTCCCAGGTTGCAAGACTCCTGTGGTTCCTTAGAGGGAAGAAGAGGAAAGGGAATGGTGAAGGTGAGCTCCCCTGGGGGAGAGCGCACCCTGGGTGTATCTCTCCCCCCCAACCC